AGAAGTGAAGTCCAAACAGTCAATCCGCTGTGACTTGCATTTTTTTCAAATTGGATTTCCAAAGTTGACATCATTGTAGCCATCCAGGCATCAAACGATTTGGAGGAATCAGCAGAGGCAGAGAGCTGTGTTTGCACAGCAGAAGATGGTTGACAAGGTGCTAATTGTCAATTTCCACCTCTTTTTTCTTAATTTACTTTTTCTGAAGAGACATAGCAACACGGTCCTTCAATGCTGCCTTGAAAGCCTTTTTAAAAAACACAAATCCTCTATTTGCATAGAATGAGCACTCAGTTGAGTGGAATTGACACCTTTGTGAGGTCCCCCTTTGCCTTTGGATCAAGTGATAATCCTGGGCAGGAAGTGGACAGAAACAATGTGCACCCAATTGTATCATGCTTAAACCATCCCTCTTGGCTGAACAACAATAACAACAAAAAAGACAATTCCCCACTAAAACCAGACAATTTCAAAACAGACTTCTCCACATTCAGCTTTATGATGTGTAATCACTGGGTTTTAATCTGAATTCATCTGTGCCTAACCCTTTGCAGATTGTGTGGTAAATGGCTGGTAATCACCCCACCCAGCATGTTTCGTTGTTTATGGGGTCATTTTTTTAGATAGCCGTGGGCTGCTACGGAATCATTTTAATCCCTGCTTTCCCTCCATTTGCTATGCCCCATGGGGCATAGCAAGAGTGGGGCATAGGAAGAGGAGGGGGAAAGGGATCAAAGCGATCCTGCAGCCGCGCTACTGTGAGATCACTTTGATCCCTGCTTTAACACCTTTTGCTATGCCCTACTTTAACACCTTTTGATATGCGCCCCCCCCGGCATATACCCACAGGGCATAGCAAGTGGAGGGAAAGCAGGGATCAAAGCGATTCCGCAGCAGCATGGCTGCAGGACTGCTTTCATCCCTTTCCCCCTCTGCATGCTATGCCCTGCGGGGCATAGCAAGCAGAGGGAAAGCAGGGAATGAAGGGACGAATATAAAAGGATTATATTCATTGCTTCATATTCGTTGGGGTCTCTGGACCCAAGAATATGAACGAATATCTGACAAATCAGGGATATTTAACAAATATCCTGATTTGTTTTTATATTCGTCCCCGTGTCTACTGGTGACTAAGAATGTAAACTGCAATATATTTTTCCCTTCAACAATGTCACAGTTAGGGGTGCCAGAGCCCTCTGTAGTTCAAAATTTGTGTATAAGTCTTATGCCCTCAAAACACAACTACAAAGCATAAACTGTTGATTCACTCACTCACTCACTCACTCACTCACTCACTCTCTCTCTCTCTCTCTCTCTCTCTCTGACACACACACACACACACACACACACACACACACAGAGAGAGAGAGAGAGAGAGAGAGAGAGAGAGAGAGAGAGAGAGAGAGAGAGAGAGAGAGAGAGAGAGAACAGTTCTCTCTATCGGACAGTACTGTGTGTAATAAGCCTTCAAAGTCCTTATGGCCCCCTGATCTAGAGGCTGAATTAGAGATGTTGTGTTTGGGGGCAAGCAGACCAATTCAAAGCCTTCAGTGTTGAACTTCAGCTGGGCAGGGACACAATATTTATCAAATATGTTTTGGTTGAAAATGTATTTATTTAATTTATTTATTGGGATATTTCTTTATTTTGGATTGAAAAAAATCAGTGTATAACCAAAACTGTGCTGTTCAGACCTGTGCAGTTCAAGGGAGAATATATATATGTATGGTTATATCAGTTCGACATCAGTTTAACTGTTATGGATCCATGCTAAGGAATCCTCGGATTTTCTGTTATACTTCAGAGGAGTGAATAAAACCCTCTTAACAGTGAATTCTAAGCATCTGTGAGGGTTCGCTGTTCGGGGCTTCCCGCCCGTCCCAAGAAGGAGTCGAGACCGCTTTTTCTGCTGTTAACTTTTCTTTATTAACCGGAACAAACGGAACGTCATTTTTAACTGGTGCCTTTGGTTCAGTCTCTTGCCCTGAAACAGGGTCGGGCAAGGGTATCCACGTAGTTTCGAAAACAGTTTTAACAGGTTCAGAGTCCCAAGGTCCAACAGGGACCTCCCCCAACAGTTTGTCCTTTCCCTCAGAATCAAACGGATTCAATAACGGTAGGGTTTCTTCGTCTCCCATCCAACCCCACGAAAGGTCTCCTTCCCTTGGCGAGGCACTCCAGGGACCAGGTAACAGCCCATCTTCTTCAGCTCTTCGACTCCAGGGACCAGGTAGCAGCCCATCTTCTTCAGCTCTTCTATATGCCATGCCTGTCTGACCGCCCTTTCCCTCTCACTTGCCTCCTTCACCTCGGTCAGCTTCTTACGCCATAGCTTAGCCTCCGTCTCCCCCAAATAAGAGGGTTTCTGCAATCAAGCCCCTCTTACGCCTCCTTTCGGCCTCCTCTCGAGGCACTCGCACCTGCTCCCAACGCTTGGTCCACGGATCGTCTATCCAGACCATCTCCCAACCACCGGGGATATCATCCCGCCTCACTGTTATATCCCCCAACCCTCCTTCCTCTCCCTTTAACTCCACCTCCTTTCTTCCCTCCAATTCTTCCTTATAAGGACCGGGTGTCATTAACCCTTTGAGAGCTTCTTCCAAATCGCTGGTATCAACCGCACATGACACCTTCCCCTCTGGTGGTGCTTCTCCTGACTCCTGTGCGCCGGCACCTCGGTCTTTCTTACTACCAGGGGAGGTACTGTAGGTGGGCTAGTCTGGGTCATTTTGGAGGTCTTTAAGAGAGTCGGCTCTACTAGAAAGACCCGAAGCTTCTGGTCTTTCCCTTCACAGCATCTCATCTAACTATAAATCCCAGGATTCTCTAGAATGGAGTCATAACATTTAAAGTGACATCAAACTTACTTAATTGTGTAGATGTGCACTTTGAGCATGGCCATATTAATCAAGTATGTGTGTGCATGCTTACACATGTGTTTTGGGTCTATTGAGGCAAAAATGACTAATGGTACCTTCTACTGCTGAGTGATTTTTGCATCTGTTTTTTACTTGAGAAGATACATATATGCTTTCGAGTTTTCCTGAGGCTGATTCAATGGGGAAGTAGCTCTCACACTTCCAGGCTGATCTGATCTTCCCATGAGCAGCAATTTCTTTTCAGTGAAAAAAAGAGAGGGTATTTTCCCACAAAAGGCTGACTCAGCCGGACAAGGTTAACTTCATTAAAGAAATCTGAGGGGTTTTTGTTTTCTATTGCTTGTTTAAACAGAGGGGGCTTGGTCTACATTAAAACCTGTTATAGAGGAGAAAAATAACTGATCTTCAAAAAGACTTTGAAAAATTGCTTTGTTTGGAGATCTTCTCCACCTTGTCCCTGGGTTGTCACTGATGGAACTCATATTTTAACTCTAATCCACATGGATTAAGGTCCAGCGTGTTCAGTGACAACATGGGTGACTTTGGCAGCTCTTTTGTCCCCTTCTAAGGAATGATTTAACTTTCTTTCATTTCTTTACAAGGTGGTGGAAGCCCTTCCTTCCTTTTCTTTCTTGCTCTCCTCTAACACCCAAGAGCTCAACCAAGCAAGCAACCATATCCCAACACTTTCCCTCAGCTATGCAGCCCAATTGCTGCACCTATAGCTACAGTGTGCTTGTTGGTGTGCAGACAGGCTGAGGCTCAGCTGAAGAAGTAGCTGGTGCTGATGCTGCTGGTGCTGCCACCGCTGGCTTCTCAGAGGCCCTTGCATGGCACCGGCTGGTTGATCTTGCTATGCCTTGCTGTTGCCTGCTCACCTGTCTTTTTTTTTGTTTACACCTCTATCTTTCTGTGATGAGGAAAGAGTGGAACCAAGTGGGGAAGCATTTGCTTAAGATAAGTGCCTGGACAAGAATCCCAGTAAGTCCCATGCTCCATATTTATAAGGTTCATTGTCCACCCAAGTTGTTTTGTAGCAAAGGACTTCAAAGGGGAACAGCCTTAGAGCACTCAGCCCTCACTGGTACTTGAGGCCGACAGACAGCATTAGAACTTGTTCCTCACTTTGAACAGTTTTTTCCTACATTATTTCCCCATCCTTTATATCCTCTGTCCAACACACACTCCTTGTCTCACTCAAAAGGGGCCAACAGCAGTAAGGAGGTTTAACATTTCCTTTTAGCAATTTGTGGAATTGACCTTTACTCACCTGTTTCCCCACATTAGGAAATCCACTGTATTTTCCCCTTGCAAGTGGAAAAGCAGTACAGGAACAGGGCTTTGTAAAACTGACCCAAAGAATAAATGTTGTTTACCATGGCTCATGAAGCAGAGAGACAACAAAGCCAGCACTTCCGTCAAATCAGAATTTTCCATCTCCCATGCTTGCACAGGCCCCTGCTTTGATTCTGCAGCTATGCACTGAACCATAGGCATCAGATTGATGGGAAAATGTTCTCCATGGGTTTTGTTGCTATTCAGGACTGTATTTGGGAGGAAGACTGCTTCTTGGAAGAATGTGTGGTAAGGTGGGGAAATCCTCTGGTGGTTGGCCTTTTGCTTTCACAACCTTTAGCCCCAACACTGATTATCCTAACAGCAGTCTTTCAGATCACCCACTGTGCAGAAAGACTAATAGTAAGAATAGAATTGTGTGTGTGTGTGTGTGTGTGTGATCTCTGTTGATTACCTCCTCTTTCAGTACCATTTCTATGATTCCTTTGGTGCCATTTCTTCCTGTCTTTTCCTTAAAATAATGTATGACTCTCTAACTTTTCTGTCTCTGAGAGGTCAGCTGCCCATGTCACTGCAGTACAACTTGGCAAGACAGTTGGCAATAAATCTGAATGCTGAAAGCATGTCAGTTTCAACGTCTCCACTGTCTAGTCTACTTATAAACATTTAGCACAATATAGAGGATAATTCCTAATGGATCCAATGCCCCTTTTCAAGTTCTTACCAAGAATTAAGAGACTCCTGCCACTATGACTATGACTCATTTTGCTATGCCACTCACTTTCATGCGGGTTTTTCTTTTGTGTGTGTGTGTCCCTGCAGGTTCATCAGTGACACAGCTGCTTGCTCGTGACCTAGACAATGATCCCCTCGTATATGGAGTTGTAGGGGAGGAAGCTAGTCGATTCTTTGCCGTGGAAAGCCTGACTGGAGTCGTGTGGCTGAGGCAACCATTGGACAGAGAGGTAATGTGTGTGCTCTTGTGTGCTAAATATTTATGTGCATAAAAATTGAGAAGAAGGCTCTTTCTCTTCCTTGACCTCTATCCTATCACATGCCAGCTTCGGCATGTAAGTCCCAGCTTATATTGACAGAGTCTCCCATTACAAAACTAGGATAAGTTCCCTGGTTTGGGTGTAATGGGGAACTCTGACTTGGTACAAGCCAGGACCTTCAAGTTGAAGCTGGTATACAGTCCAAGAAGAGAGGAAAGAGGTCCTTGACCCTGATGTTGCTTCACAATATAATAAACCACGCTTTATGAAGCCTTGAATGACCATTCAAATTGGGCCAGTGCTATGCATATGAATACCCTTCAAATAGTGAACAGGATGAATAAGAGTGGCATACAAATCAGTGCATTTTAAGTCACGGTCATTTGCTTGTACATTTTATAGAGTTTGTATTTATATTGGAAGGAATATGCATCTGTGGTATTTTGATGAAATGTTCATCTATAAGGGAAACAGAGACAGATATGAAAAGCTGAAAGTATGTCTATAAAAGTGGGACTAAATAATTGGATAAGATAAGAACTAATGAAAGAAGATTAAGTGATTAGTTGAAAACTGGGGAAAGGAGGTGAGGATGCATCCTGAAATAAGGAAAGTGGAAAAAGAGACCTGTACACGACGTGTGTGTGTGTGTGTTCTGTGTCATCAAGTCAGAATTGACATATACGTAAGTAACGCTAAGAAGGCTTTCAAGGTAAGTGAGATATTTAAGGAGTGGCTTTACCAGTTCCACTCCCACAGTGAGTTTCCATGGCTGAGCGGGAATCTGAATCCTGTTCTCCAGAGTCCTGGTCCATCATTCTGTCCACTACACCACACTGGGAATCATGGAGAGAAGATTGTGGGATAGTTTGAGAGGTTTAATATGAATTGAGCAAAGGGAAGAGATGTGTGATATGACACCATATAGTATATTTTAAATGCAAAAATGCAGAAGGGTGCTCACTTGAAAAAGAATGTTGATGAATGGAATATGTGATAAGATGTATATTAGAGTGGAAAGCACCCTTTCTGTGTGACTAATCTTTTTCTTAGCCTGTAATTTTCATGTTCTAGAACACTCTCCCTTCAGCTCTCTTTCATCACTTTCACCCTTCTGTATTGTACTGGTGTAGAAAAGGGAGTAGATGATAGAAAGGGGTTGGCAGTGGAAGCGATGACAGCGTGTCTACCTGAAACAAATGGATGATGTCTCCTTTATCCTTGGCATTTGGCTTCACAGACTGGCTTCAGGCATTGCCCTGAGGCAGCAGCTAAATCCCATGTAGGCCTCATATCACATTAGCTAAACATTTGTGGGAGGAAAATGCATGTTGTAGTAACCTGTTTTCTGAAACCCCTTCAGGATAAACATTTTTCATGGCAAAATAGAGAGGAAAGCAAGGAGCTGGGAAATGTAGCCTCACATCCTGACTAACAAAAAGCTTGTTGTTCTTAGAAATCTAGCTGTTCACTAGTGAATACAGTAAATCTAGACTCAAAAGGCAGAACCCTTTGTCTCTGTGGTAGAGCATAGTGGCTGGAGCTTTGCATGATCTCTGGCTTGCTATTTGTGCAAGCCAAAGATCACTGAATGATGGGGCTTAACACACATGCAAAAAAAGAGAGAACTTGATACCTTCTTACGTCATTTAAGAAACACTTCTGCTGCTCACACAACTGTCTATTGCAAAGCAAAACAATGATTTTTGTACTGTCAAGTTGAGTCTGAGATACGCCAATCCTTCCAGAGTTTTCCCAGTAGAGAGTACTCAGCAGTGGGTACTCTCTTCTAGGTACTTCCTTCTTCTGGGGTACTCTGGGACTGTGCAGCTTGCCTAAAGTTTCACAGACTGGTTCCTCTCCTGAGAGACATAGTGGGAAACTGAATTCCTGATCTCTGTCTTCACAGCCAGGCACCAAACTCACTTCTCATCTCCTCCAAAATATATTTTGCTCCACTCTTTGAATGTGGAAAATGATGACTTAGAAGCTTCTACAGTATTTCCCTCTCTTCACATGTAGAGGTTTGTCATGATGTCTGAATTCAGTCATTAGCTGATTCACATGTCATGGTAAACAGCAGGCTAGCTTCTTCTGGGTGTACATGTCATGTGGCCAAGTGGCACATTGCCTTAAAATTCTAGGTCTACATGCCATTTTGGAGTTCATGGTTTGTTTAGACACTGCCACTTCAAACAGGACCCACCAGAAAGTGGGAGCCAACGCACTATCTTGTCCATAGCAAGCCAAGAGTTCCCAAGGAATCCTGACTTACCATGACATCCCAATGTGTCCATTTGAGTAAACAGAGATACTAGACCAAACACCTTCAGTTGTTAAATGTTAGTCTTAGTTTGAATTATTATTGAGCTAAAACCTGCTGAAACTTAAAGTGGGCAACAGTGTATTTATTTGCTATGTTCATGTTACACCTCAACTTCCTTATATTAGAAGAATCCAGAGTGGGTTATGTTGCATAGTATGTTCTGTCGGAACAATGGAAGAAGACTATACGCTTTCCCCTCCCATCTTGCTGGGGGGAATTTTCCATAGGCATCTAGTAGACCACTGTAGGAACAAAACTAGGGACAGCGTGGATGTTCTTATGTTCTATGACTGGTCTATAGCAACAACTCTCTGTTTATTGGTCTTACTCATGTACTCACTGTTTTCCAGGTGGATATAAAATGCTCTTTTTCCATAACTTTTAATGCAAAGGGCACCAATACTAACACACTAAGATAATGGGAAACTTTGTAGAAATAGCTTGTATAGTTGGCAAAGCTGGCTTCTTATCCATTGACTCTCTGGTTTTCATAGACCTCTCGTCCAGCGTTAAAATGTTGTACTACCGGTAAAGAAACGTCAGCGTTTGCCTATCATTAGCTCCCTCATCATAAGCTCCTTATATCCCAGTATGGCAATATCTTCATCTTCTTCCAGGCCACAAAAGTATGCAATAATATTAGGCTCAAATCCAAAGCCTTCTATCAACAGATTACCAGCATGGCATCTCTAATTATATCTTCTTCTTGTTTCAGACTAAGTCAGAATTCACGGTTGAATTTTCTGTCAGCGACAGCCAAGGGGTAAGTGTGACATTTATTCCATGATTTTAAATGGAAGGAAATGTTAGGGGTGATCTAGATGACATGGTCTTTGGGTAGAAGATTAAAGCGACTGCGCTCCCACCTCTTTTCTGAAGGAGTTCTCTTAGGGACACAGAAACATGCTATTAGCCAGGGAAGTAGGGAGATATTTGTGGCATAACTTATTTCAGCACAGCAATGTACAAAATACTGTGGAAGCATAACCATCAGTTCTGCCCATCCTACCCCACACACATTTATAAAAAATAAAAAAAAACAATAACAACAACAAAACAAACTTCAGGCAACTGAGCAGTACAGGTCTGTAATATGATTTGATTGTTTTCCTTTAAAAGAAGCAGCTTTGTGGACCCTTGCCAGCTCTGTCAACAGGCAGAGTGAGATAGTTGCCTCATGCAACAGAATTTGGATGTCATGAAAGAACAGTGAATTGTTACTTACTTTACTGTTGCAGAGACCTTTGGGTAGAGTGGGCGGCATATAAATTAAATAAATAAATAAAGAAATAAATTTTTAACTCCAGGAATAAAGAGAGATGCTTTCAGGGTTCCCTATCTCTTCTGCCAAAATGAATTTGCTGGCTTTGTATATGATGCAAGAGATGTTTGCTCCTGTGGTACAGTTAGCATTATATTTTAGATGGATGTCTGCTCACCAAGCATGGAATGGCCGTTTCTATTATATAGAAAAGGGGTGTGCAATGTTTTTGAGTTCAGGGGCCACGTTATTCCTCCTGGGACCCTCTGCTCCTGGGGCTGCACAGGCCATCAAAAATGCCACAAAATGCAAAAAACAAAACAAAACAAAACAAAAAACCACTGGAAATGTCTGGATACCTATTTCAAGTTTTGAGACACTGACGTTTTTTGGGTACTAATGGGTGCGAGCTTAACTGCTACTTCTTAAGGCTTCTAGGACTAGGAATTCACTTTCTCCCCTACCCCAAAAAAGTAGGAAGTGTTGGAAGGCTGAGACCTGGCAAAACAGCATTGTCCACCCTTGTTGTAGAAGCACACTATTTTCTCAGAGAAAAGTTGATGCCCATATGTGCAAGCTTTGAAGAATTTCAGGTACCATCTTATGCCTCCTCCTGTAGTTCTGAAAATGCTTGTAGAGAAATAGCTGGAAAAGAAAAAGAATAAAGTGCACCTATGTCAACATATTGTAGAGCCTTGACAATATGCAAATATGTAGTTGGATGTGCATCTGAGGCTCCTGCTTGGAAATGATCTGGGAAGCTTCTCTTTTTTTTTCCCCATTCATATAGTTCTGACTCACACTTGTGCCATTCATATGTTAAAGAGAAAGCCATTTCTAGCCTCAGGCAAAAGTGGGGAAAAACCATACCTCTTTCTTTAAGGATGTTTTCAATTAAAGCTCTCTTTAAAACAAGAATTGTTGGATTTAATTGTTTAGCCTTGTGTACATTAAATAAATACATTATTTAAAAAAAACTTAAACCACTAGATATAAATAAATAAATAAATAAATAAATGGTTCGCTATTAGATTACTCTTACTATAGCATTACATTACTCTTATCGTTAGTGTTTGATCTTATTTCATGTTACAGTATTTTATTTTATTTTTTTAAAATAGACTCCTTGGGTTCTTTTAAATACAGCATTTTAAAAAAACTTAAACCACTAGATGCAGGCACCACTACACACAGGCATCACAGGAAGCAAAATGGGGTGCACAGTGCAAGGCCCTCAGTGACATCCTAAACAAGAAAACTGTGCCAGGTTGCAAAGAGTTGCTTTTCTCACAAAGATCCCCTCAGTGCAAAAGTGCACCATTACAGCTGAAAGCATCCTGAGAGAAGGAGGAGGAGTTGTGGGAACATATTCCTAGCCACCCAGTCTGCCGCCCTCCAAAAAAATGTCCTGTTAACAGTAAGTGAATACTGCACCATGTTTTTTTGAAAAGCTGTGCCCCTTGTTCATAAGCAATGTTACATTGTAACCATTTCTGAAGCATATTCTCTCCTTGGCAATTGAAACAATACAAAATGTTCAACAATATCCAACTGCATAGATAACCAAACTAAGTATGAATTGTCTGGATCGCAGGTTATCAAAGGGTCAGTGAATATCCAAGTGGGAGATGTCAATGACAATGCACCAAGATTTCACAATCAGCCATACAGTGTCCGCATCCCTGAGGTAAGCACTTTTCTTCTTTTTTTCCACTTGAAAGAGCTGCCATTTCTTCCCTTCTGTAAGAAAAAAGACTTGATTGAATTGATTGGAAGAAGGTTATTTCTCCAGTTGTTGTGAACTAAAGGAAATTTCTTCTCATCATGTGGGAAGCTAAAAGTATATTAAGCATTTTGGGATCCAAGTCTGGCATTTAAGAGAAGTAATGGTTAATAGGGGCATATTTACTCAAGATTCTTATATCATTTTTTATACCATTGCAATTTTTCAACAAAATATTGCTGTACAGATCGCTCTGTTTATTGTTCCAGTCTTCAGCCATGCCTATTCTACTACAGTACCCATTGCATTATCCATCCAGTCTGGGTTTTTTCTTAATAAAACAAAACAAAAATTGGCTCCCTCTGAAAAATCAGAATATCCTGCTCATATTTGGGTTTCTTCCCTTGGGGTTTCCTCAATAAGTTGCTATAAATAGGTTATTTTTCCAGGCCTACTGACTCTCCTTCATGTGGGGAAGTATTGTGGTCTTCAATGCATAAATATTATCTAACTGTCATGGCTGAGAATTGGAAGGGGATGACTAGGTTTGAGACGGGCTCATTGGCCTTGAGAGTTGGGTTGATATCTGTATTTGAGGCTTGATAAATGGTTTTGAAAGTGAGAAGCCAAGGTGGTGTGCACATCTTTATAGGAATTGTCAGATAAGGCCCCGATCAGACAAGGGAAATGTTTTCTAGTTTTTCCAATACTTTCCATACCTCTGTTGTACTGAATTGTGGTCATGTGGTTTATATCCCAGGACACATTTGTGTCATTGGGACATTTGGGACATTTCCCAAGAACGTTTAGCAGTACCAATTTCGTTGTTTGGTCGTTTAGTCGTGTCCGACTCTTTGTGACCCCATGGACCAGAGCACGCCAGGCCCTCCTATCTTCCACTGCCTCCCGGAGTTGTGTCAAATTCATGTTGGTTGCTTCGATGACACTGTCCAACCATCTCATCCTCTGTTGTCCCCTTCTCCTCTTGCCTTCACACTTTCCTAACATCAAGGTCTTTTCCAAGGAGTCTTCTCTTCTCATGAGATGGCCAAAGTATTGGAGCCTCAGCTCCAATTGGACCCTCAGTACCAATTTATTTCCTCCTATTTGAATCATTATGGCTGACTACACTATGGTATACATCAGGGCCAAGGTTGGACAAGCCTGCTCTAAGGTGTATGACTGCATGAATGTGCTTGATTCCACCTCTCCTCCGCACAGCTCTCCTCCTCCCTTGTGCACCCACAGCTATCATTTCGAGCCCCTTCCAGTCCTGTTGCAATGGAGCCCCACGTGGCGGGCAGGCAGGGCAGACTCGCACATGGGGGAGGGTGGAAATTAGAGGGAATATTGATCAGGAAGGGGTATCTGTTTAGGGAAGTGTCCCTCTGTTTGACTGGCTGCACCTGCAGAAATGCATTGCACAAAATAGACTTGAGATATGCACACAATGGACTTGGGATATCCACACAACAGAACTGGCAATCTCTCTCTCTACACAAACATATACGCATGCGCACACACACGAGACACTGACATACCAACATTTCAATGTATCTTCCCACAAGAAAGAAAAAATTACTATTCCCCAGCAATGTAATGGTGGCAGCCCCCCAGTGACATACTTTTACCAATATTTTGATGTATTGAGCACAAATATTTTTTAAAAAAATAATGTGTGTGCTGCATCTTCCTGGCTTTGATTCTGAAAAGAGGCAGGGAAAGTTGTGTACACAGGCAATCCCAGTAAGGAATGCACTGGTACAACAAAAGTACAAAATAACACAGCCCTCCTGGTGATAGAGAAATGTTCCGCAGTTACACTGCTAGCCAGGAAAATGTCTTGGTCTTAACTCTGTGTCGTATGACCAGGGGAAAAAAATACAGACAAAACCTGTAACATATCCCTTGTGTGACCAAGACCTCATTCTAATTCCTGTCCACATTAATTTTGCATGTGTTCATTCATAAGGCCACCCTGTCCCATCTCCTCATCTATCTATTTTCTATTTTATTTTAAACACAGTCAAATGCGGATTTAAATTATTTGCTTCATAGGTGTTCTTATGTATTTTATTCTAAATATTTTATTATAAAAATATACATGTTCAATGCATTTAACCTAAGACAGAAGTTCTTGAGGTCTAGGCACCAAACTATCTTTTAAGAATCCACTGGGGGATGTAGCTGGCCATCACTGCTGAATTCACTGTAGCAATATCAAAAAAACCAAACACACACACACACACAAAACCTTTCCCTCTTCTCTTTTTCTTAGTTCAAAACTAGATATGTGTGGTTGGCATGGTACAATTGGTTTAGCACTAGGACGGTCCCAAGTGTCCTGCTCAAGCCACTCTACTACACTATCTTACATATCTTAAAGTTCCCAACTCCAGTCCAAATGGAGACTGTGGCCAAGAAACCAGAAGGAGACCGAGACTCTGAAAGGCAGCAATGAAGGAATTAGAAAACCTAATCAAGTGTAAGAAAGGAATTAGAAAACATAATCAAGTGTAAGAACGTGTTGCTGGAGACGAAGACCAAGATCCATCCACACTCTTGTATTCCCAATCACCATGTACAGGTGTGAAATCTGGACTATGAAGGTGAAAAAATGATTTGATTTAAACATAGTGATGGGATAGAGCTTTCTGGATACCTTAGTTGGCCAGAAAAACAAACAAGTGGGCCCTGGAGGAAATAAAGCTTGAACTATCTCTGGAGGCAGAAATATTGAAGCTGAGGTCATCCTACTTTGGGTGCATCATGAAGAGGCAGGCTTCTGAGAGAACAATACTGGGAAAGAAGGCAGCAGGAATAGAAGATGACGAATGACTAAGTATGAGAAGGATTGAATCCATAAAGGAAGCCTTGAGTTTGTAAGAGCTGAGCAGGGCAGTTGAGAACGGGACATTTTGGAAATTTCTCATTCATAGGGTCACCGTAAGTCAGAGGCAACTTGATGGCATGTAACAGCAACAACAGGCATATTTTCTAGTCTCTCTGCTTCTTGATTTTCACAGTTCCCAGGTCTCCATAGTTTGTCCTTCCAAAACTGTACACGACATTTCTGTCTGATACAGACAGATTCTTTTGGCACTGAGCCAAGACTCTGTAGGTGTATGTATGCACTTGTGTGTCCACGTGTATATGAGAGAGAGAGAGAGA